TTACTAGTCCAATTAATTAATTTTACCCCTAATTTTCGGCTAACAAGTCAATCCATATTCCTTTAATTCAATTCATGCCCAAGAGTAAATTCAATTCATTTCAATTCATGACTAATTTCCAAACTATGTTTTTTTTCCTCTTTTCCACTCTTGTTGGCGGTGTTGTCCCATGGTAGATGCATATTTCATTCTCACAGACTATGATTAACGAATGAAACAGAGCCCCTTTTCAGAGATGGAATTGTCCTATAACAATGAGTTTTGAATAGATTTATTAATAATAGTATTTTTTTTTATGAATAAAATGAATGTCCAATTAAAACAAAATTAACCCCTTACATTCGCAACCAAAAACCCATATCAATTTCAAGTTTTCTAAAAATAATAATAAAAGTAAATTCTTATAATAAGGGTGATTCTCTAAGCTATTATGTGATTGATAACAAATTGAGAATTTAGTGTTTCATATCAAAAATAGTAAAACGATTGTTCTAAAACAAGGTTTTAACTTTTGAGTGAAAAACGCAACCTCCTCACACTTGAGCTGGACCTCGCCCTCGAGGTCTCTTTTTAATGCACAAAGTTTTGAAGTAAAGACACATTTTGTTTTGTTCTTTCTTCACACTTGAGTTTTGAAAAGATTTTGTGAAGAGGAATGATGAAAAGAGGAATAAAATTGTTTTAAAAATATCCTTACATCATCCATAGTCAGTTTTTTTTTGAAATCGGGTCAAAGCGTTCAACTCACAATTTATTTATTGAAGCACAACCTGCAATCACACAAAACAAACAAACAAAGTTATGAAAAACATGGGTTGTCTCCCAAGAAACGCTTCTTTAACGTCACTAGCTTGACGTTTGGGAGAGAACTATCGATCATGCAAATTAGTCGTGGAGCACTCATCATCAAGGCCTCAACCTTCCTTTCAAGATACGCCGTCAGATGGCGTAAACCTTAAAACTCTCGAGACCACCAGAATGTAACATAGTCATCATAAACTGTATCATGTGAACTTGGAATAACAAATCTGGCACACCCCTCTTCAGTAACAATAACAAGAATCTCAAGCTTGGGTGCATTTGGTGCCTCGAATCGCTCAAGTGGGCCCACCATGGTAAGAGCATCACGAATAAAACTCTTAGGCTCCTTCTTTTGGTTTTCTTTTTCTTCAATGATGGCCTCAACATTTGCATCACAGAATTCAAACTCCGTGTCACTCTCTAAGAGTGCATCCCAATTTCCTTGCTCACTACTCCCACAAAAATCATCTAGGCAAGTAGGTCTTTGTCTAGCACAACTATGCTCATCATCATCAAGTAGAGAATCAAAGAAGGCATCATCAGACATTGTTTCCTCCACATCACAAGTTTCATCAACTACTAGAACAGTTGTTTGGGCTCATGTAGGATCAAAATTTTCATCAAGAATATCTTTCAAAGACTCTTTAGATGCAAGGCCATCCATAGACGGTAAGATATGGTCGGCGTCACAAAGTATCTCCTCGTCTATGATTTCTTCATCAACCTTAGTGAGAACTTCCCGATTGGGTTCTTCAGGGAAAACTTCTATGAGGATCGGTTCAAGTTCAGTAGCAATGGGAGGCTCAAAAGAATTAGGGGTGAAAAAAGTTTCAACCATCTCGCCCATAGTTACCGCAGCCTCCTCCTCAGATTTAACACCTTCCTCGTATGTCTCCTCTTGAACCTTGTGTTCATTGTTATACATGAATTGTTCAAACAATTTCTCGAGACTCTCATCACGAGATGCTAGATCAATCCTTGTCTTTTTTAAGTCTTCCACAAGATCGAGTAAGGATGATTTTAAGTTTTCGAGCTCGTGTTGAGGATAAGGTGAAATTTCAGATTCATTCCCGTATGAGTACTCGTTTGTGCTAATGTAATGGTTTTCTAGCCTTTCGTGGTAATTTTCATGATGATTAAAATCATCATGATAATTACCTTGATAGGAAAAATCATTATAGCCTTCAAAGTTTTGCCCTTGGTGGAAATAATTATCTTGAAATTGATAATCTTCATACCCTAAAGGTGGATTTTCGCACCATTGATTGTTATCCAATAACCTTGCTCATAGTATCCTTCATTTTGATTATTTTGAAAACTTTGTTGTTCATGGTATGGATAGTGATATGGTGGTTGAGAATAAAAGTGTTCATTTGAGTAATCCATGAGGAAACATTAAGCAAACACGTGAGAACAAAACAAAAAAGAAAAAGAAAGTCTCCCTAACTTGAATTACGGGTGTGTTCGGTAATCCTTGGGGATAGCCGGTTGAATTATGGAAATAAGTAAGGACCATGGCCCTTCCCGACTCTAGAGAGCGGGGTTGGATAGCATGGACTTGCATCGTGATCACGGGTTAAGGTGGAATCCGAATTGGAGACCTAACTAGGCTCCGACAGCGGTAACACATAAGATAGGACACGAAGGACCTTACCTTCCTACGGGATGATGGGTATGAGTCCAGGGGCGGGATGTTGAAATCCGAACCGGGAGCCTTATGAGGTCCCGGACAGCGGTAGCAAATCCCGTAGAAATAATAAGACTCACGGGTTGGGTTGTACAAAAGATGAATGAAAAGGAATATATAAGAAGGGCCGTGTGCCGACAAATAAATGAATTTACTTATTATAGAGATAATAAGTGGCAAATATGAATTTTCAATTATATTATGATACCACTCTATTTGAGGGTCTTAAGAAATTGAAACATTGATTATACTTAGTATAGTTGTCATTGTACTTGTCAAATGCTTCCAAGTATTGACCTCCCCTTCACGGGGGAGGCCACCTCACAGTTTCAGGTAGAAGCTGAACCCAAACTAAAATCAAACATAGAACATGAATACCTTACATTTAATCATTCAATAACTCTACACTCAACGCCACCTGTCAGCACATACATATCACTTGAAATTCACATAACATCATGCCGTACAATTTCAAGTATCCAAGCAAGTATATCAATTCATCATTAGCTAAACTTCCATACTTTATTTAGAACTATCATGTATAGGTGGTGGTGACTTACCTGATTCACACAGAGTTTTTACCCTTGAGCGTGTGTATAAGGCGTCCATGGGCAACGGTTCTTCGATGGGCAACTATATATATATATATATATATATATATATATATATATATATATATATATATATATATAGAGAGAGAGAGAGAGAGAGAGAGAGAGAGAGACACTTGATCAACATACTTTCATGCTTTTAGAAAAACCCTAAGACTTAGGGATGAGGGAAATTCTACAAAATAAGCCCCTAAACATGATAAAAATCCTGAAACTCCTACATCTCAAGTGATCAATTTTTCGTGTAGCTAGATAACCAAAACTCGATTGAAATTCTTAATCAAGAATCAACAATAATTAACTAATTACTACGGCATCAAGAGTTCTATGTATCCTTTAAACAACGGCCCCTAATTAGTAGAAGACTTCCCCAAATTCCTACATCAAACCGAGTATAGCTTCGAAATAACTAGTTATTCAAGAATATATTAAAAACTTGTTAAACCAAGGATAAACAACCACTCTACAACACTCCTATCATCCATAAAATCCATTAATTTCTTAGAACCAACCCAAAATCAACCATACTTGTGGAAATCCCTAAAATAAGACCTAAAACCGAAATAGAAAAGAAATACTTCATATGGAGTGAAAGTCTAACCATTTAATGATCCTTGATGAAGAAACACATTTAATTTGAGCTTGAATCACTTTGAGGAAGATTTGGGATCAATTTGAAGAGAGAGGGACGAGCAAAAGTAGGTTTTGGGGTGAAAAGCTTCGTTTTTTGTTAAATATGCGTTTTCCCACCGACTGCCAAATCTGACCCGACCGGCTCCGGTCAGGGTCCAACCGGCTCCGGTCAGGGTCCAACCGGCACTGGTCAGGGTCCAACCGGCGCCGGTTGCCCTGCCTTTCCACCGCCATAAGGTTCTGTTTTGGACCGGCGCCGGTCTAGGGTTCCCCCGGTGCCGAAAACGTCCTTTTTCGCCCTAAACCGACCCCGATTGTTGCCGATCCCATCCTAGACCCCCAATGACATTTTAAACTATATTTTAAACATCCGAATACTATCTAACATGACAAATAACTTGATATACCATTACATTCAAAAATACGAATGATTATTACGGTGTAGTTTCGTTGCTCATCGAATAATGTCACCTGTCACGTTCAACCATAATACAAGCATGTAAGTTCAAATATCATTATCACAAAGTTCATAATCACATGCTATCTCTACACTTCACACATATAACACTCAAACATAAGTTAAAACATGATCATATATAAAATTACTAGCACATAAGAAGTAGATAAAAAAATACGGGCGTCACAGTAGCACCCCTAATCTCATTTGGCATAGGCTCCCCTAAATAATGCCAAATAAATACTACTCCCTGGAGGACCAATTTCGCAACAACCCATATATAGTTGCTTTGTTTGTTTGGGCCAGAATAATTAAAATATTTTGGAGTAGATGATCTCGGCCCATATAAGATTATTCAGTTATTTGTGAAGGCCCCATGAATTTAAAATTTTTGTTTCGTGTTTTGTAAGGCTCAAGAAAACTTCAACAGTTAAAACTTCAGACTTTTTTCATTTTACAGATTACATATTGATGTCATATGAAAAATCATAAAAATTCATGAATTTTGATACATTTTTTATAAAATTTGGAGTAAAAATAAAAAAATTATAATACATATTAAAAACAAATTTTTTTATATGATAGACACATACCTACACATTTCTCAATTATTTTTAGCCTTGGAAGTCCATCCTCCCTCAATATTTATCACCTTTCATCCGGTTTCCCATTTTTACCATCTCATTTAGCCTACCAATATAAGGAGTATGAAATTTTATTCAAACATTTTGGAATCTTAATAATACACCACTACAAATAGTCTAATGTCCCGTTAGACTCTTTCATGTTTTGATAAAATTTGGTAAGTAGTTATTATTTCATTAATTTGGGTGATTTAGCTAGCGAGTAAATGTACTAAGGATAAATATTGCGGTATTAGCATATGATTACTTGGTCAAAGTCCCAGAGAATTGAGAAAACCTTTTTCGATCTGTGGGAATCAATGTGAAAGCTTATTAATACCCCACTGCACCACCAAACAAGCTGCCCAACTGCACCCATGTTGGACTATTAATTAAGCAGCTGAGAGCGTGAAGTACGTAGGCAGTGGGCTTTGATTGATCCTAGCTAATCAAACCCGATACATATTGCTGGTTTTGTAGTTCAACTGTATTCTATAAATATACACAGATGTGTACACGCAAATATGTATATATATATATAACTATATATATATATATATATATATATATAGGGGATCGACATGTGTGTGTAATATTCATTCAATGGTCTAACTACCCAGGCCATCCATCCATTAGTAATCCGATTCTTACAATTTTCCGTCACTCCGGGAGATTGATTGACTCGTTCCATCATACTGTATATTTTCTGATAAGATTAGATTTTATTTATGGCTACAGAGTGCATAGAGATGGAGGAGGAGAGGCTGACGGCCCAGATGGATTTCAAAGACTCTTCCTCCATCGTCATCAACATACGCCGCCGGCTACCGGACTTTCTTCAGTCCGTGAAGCTGAAATATGTGAAGCTGGGGTACGGATACTCTTGCGGGTACCCCCCGGCGGTGCAGGCTGGGGGAGTGGCGGTGGCGGTATTCTTTGGGGTGATGCTGGTCCGCCTGGCGGCGGCAGGGTTGAGACTGAATCGGTTTTGGGAGGTGGTGGTGTACGCGGGACGGAACCCGAGTGTGCTGGTAGATACGACGACCGGGGTGACGGGGCTGTCGGTGGTGGTGGTGGGAATGAGCCTGTACTGGGCGAAGCGGCCGCGACCGGTGTACCTGGTGGATTTCGCGTGCTACAAACCGGGGGAGCAGAGAAAGATGTCGGTGGAGGGGTTCCTGAAGATGACGGAGCAGAACGGGTCGTTTTCGGAAGACACGGTGACGTTCCAGAAGAGGATATCCCAGCGGTCGGGGCTGGGAGACGAGACGTACCTGCCTGCGGGCATCACGGCGACGCCGCCGAACCTGTCGATGAAAGAGGCGCGGGCGGAGGCGGAGGCGGTGATGTTCGGGGCGCTGGACTCGCTGTTCGAGGCAACGGGGGTGAAGGCAGAGGAGATCGGGATCCTGATAGTGAACTGCAGCCTGTTCAACCCGACGCCGTCGCTGGCGTCGATGATCGTGAACCACTACAAGCTGCGGGAGAGCGTGAGCAGCTACAACCTGGGCGGAATGGGGTGCTCGGCGGGGCTCATATCGGTGGACCTGGCGAAGCATCTGCTGAAGGCGAACCCGAACACGTACGCGGTGGTGGTGAGCACAGAGAACATCACCCTCAACTGGTACTTCGGCAACGACCGCTCCATGCTGCTGTGCAACTGCATCTTCCGGATGGGGGGCGCGGCGATGCTGCTGTCGAACAAGCGGCAGGACAAGGGGCGGTCCAAGTACGAGCTGGTGCACACGGTGCGCACCCACAAGGGGGGCGACGACAGCAGCTACAAGTGCGTGTACCAGAGGGAGGACGAGGAGGGGGCGGTGGGGGTGTCGCTGGCGAGGGAGCTGATGGCGGTGGCGGGGGACGCGCTGAAGACGAACATCACGACCCTGGGGCCCCTGGTGCTCCCGCTCACGGAGCAGCTCAAGTTCCTGGGGACTCTGGTGAGGAGGAAGGTGATGGGGCGGAGGGGGAAGGTGAAGCCGTACATCCCGGACTTCAAGCGGGCGTTCGAGCACTTCTGCATCCACGCGGGCGGGCGGGCGGTGCTGGACGCGCTGCAGAACAACCTGGACCTCACCGAGTGGCACATGGAGCCGTCGCGGATGACTCTGCACCGCTTCGGCAACACCTCCAGCAGCTCGCTGTGGTACGAGCTGGCCTACACGGAAGCCAAAGGCCGGGTGTCGAAAGGAGACCGCGTGTGGCAGATCGCCTTCGGCTCCGGCTTCAAGTGCAATAGCGCTGTTTGGAGAGCCCTCCGCACCCTTCCCTCTAACCCCCCCACATCTAACCCTTGGGCAGACTCTGCTCATCGCTACCCACTCAAGATCGATCATTATATTGACACAACGACCAACTAATTAAGTACTACCATTATCTTTCCTATCATTCATAATCACTGCTACTACTATACGTAGTATATAATAATAAATTCATCAACCACAGCACCCTCAATTTCGCCACCAAAGAAAAAGAGCACAAATACGATTCATTATATTGCTTCCTTTAATACTGTATATCCCATCCCCCCACACCTGCCCAACCATTGTCGGAAATCGCATCCGGAAAACTAACATTAGGATCACACATCTCACGGCTGTAGCGACATTAGTTAACATGAAATCTGAAAGTGAAATTAAAATTTGGTCACATTTTTTTCCCGAATTAATGTGATTTAAATAAATATTTACTGAAATAAGATTGGGTTAAAAGTATTTACGAATATATTGTTGGGCTTAATCCGAATATGAGAGTTTTTAAATATGTTTTATGTGTATGAAATGTTGAATTTGGGTGTATAAAGTGTGTATATTAATATGTATTCATCAATTATCGTCATGTATTGTTATTTAATATGGATTTCTCCAACTTCCTAATAGTGTGTCATTGAGGAGGGAAATTATTTGAGGAAGTAGGGGGTATACGCTATGAAAGTGGTAAGAGACGCATGTTTGTTGTTTCTTGTGGAGCATATATGCGTGAGATGATACAAAAATTATACTTCCTCCGTTCTTAAATATGTGCAACAGTCAACATTTCACACTTGCCGAGACACAACTTTGACCATTAATATATATAGTTCTCTATTAGTAAAAAAAATTAAAAAAATTAGTTTTTGAAAATTTACAATTAGACAAATTTAATAACATATTTTTTCAAAAAAATATATTTATACATCATTAAATAAAATGTAGTCAATGTAGAACATGTGAATAGTGTAAAATTTCACACGTTGCACTTATTTAAGAACAGAGGTAGTATGTTGCTACACAGATACCTCCAAGCCATTCTTTGCAAATGCAGGTGAAATATCCCCTTCACGGGGATCATACATGCTTATGCCACTTGATGATGAGGAAGTTGTCACGGCATTGTGGACTATAGTTCAAATGATGACTATGTCCACAATGGAGATATACATTTCAGATTCTATAGGTGACGCTTATGTAACTACGTCAACATCAAATGTTGTTGTATCTGAGCATGGTGTTAATGCATCGGCGTCCTCAAATGATGTTATTTTGGACATGGTTGTAGAGAAGGATGGACCGTATTTGCATAATGGTGCATCCTTTTTGGACGGCCATGAAACTGATGATGATGCTGATGAACAAATCAATGATGATACAATGACAGAATCAAATGAAGATGATAGTGATATTGTGACCGCAACTGCTCCATCTAGCCACTATACTAGATTGTGTGATCTCCAATTCGGGTTTGATGATGCATGGAAGAGTGGAAAAGGTGTGAAAAGGTTTACACAAAACGGTGAGTTTGAGGTTGGTCAACAGTTTGACAACAAAGAACAACTCATCAATATGGTGAGTTTGTATTCTATCAAACGCAACCAATTTTATCGTGTGCTAGAGTCAGAAAAACATAAATGGGTTGCAGAGTGCAAGAGAAAGAAGGAACGTGATTGCAATTGAAGAATACGAGCCAGAAAGAAACATGCCAGTCTTGACATGTTCACAGTTGTGTGTTATCCTGGACCTCATTCTGCTACCTATGTTGGCAACAATGACAGTGATGATCATGTGGTGATTACTTCAGATTTTATCTCCCGAGATATAATTGACCTTATTCACACTGATCCATCCCTTAAAGACCATATTATTATTGAGTTGTTGAAGGAAAAGTATGGTTATACAGTTTCGTACAGACGTACATGGTTGGGCAAACAAAAGGCCAATGCTGAAATCTTTGGAGGTTGGAAGAAGTCATATTCTGAATTGCGCAATTTCATGCAGCGCTCCAACATTCCAATCCGAGGACAATTGTGCACTGATACCCACCCCTCACAAGTCCCACTGAGTGTGTCCATTTTCATAGAGTCTTTTGGGTATTCAAGCCTTCGATTCATGGTTTTAAGCATTTCCAACCGGTATTGACTATTGAAGGCACACACATGTATGGGAAATATAAGGGAACATTACTCGTGGCTATGGGTAATTATGCAAACAACCAACTATTTCATGTGGCCTTTGTAGTCCGTGAATCAGAGAATGGGGATAGTTGGCCATAGTTTATGGCATGCATTAGGTCATTTGTAACTAACAAGGAATTATATGTCATTTCTGATCGACATCCAGGTATTATAAGGGTTATGAAGGAGGTGGGGAGTAGTTGGAGGAGCCCTTTACGCACCATAGGCTATGTATGCGCCATCTTGCATCGAATGTGCACACCCATTTCAAAGACATTCACATGAAAAATCTTTTTGTTTGGACCGCATGGCAACATCAGAAAAAAAGTTTGATGGTGGGTTCAACAAGATATGCGAAATGCATGTGGAGGCACGATAATTTCATAGGAACATTCCCTTGGAAATGTGTTCATTACACCATGATGGGGGGTACAGATACGGTACCCCAACTTCAAATATGACTGAGGTTTCAATAGTGTGATGAAAAGTGCCCGATATTTGCCCATCACAGCTTTGGTCCAGGTTTTCTTTTAGCGCGTCAATGCATATTTTGTGGATAGACATGAAAGTAGTAAAAGAAGAGTGACAGAAGGCCACAAGTTGTCACGCCCCGGACCTACCCGGACACGTCAACAACCCGCCGTACAGTACGAATAGTCAACCGCAGTCCGACTCATCCATACTATACAAGGCGTCTTGAATACCATTCACACATAGCACATCCATAAACAAACATAATGTAAAACATTTGTTAAAGCAGCGGAAACAATTGATACAAGTGTTCAAGTCACACTTGGCATAATTAGGCATGCAAGCCCCCAAAGTAATTATTCAGAAAATATTATCCATGAGCATTATTCATATTGTTTTCAAAACGAGAACGGAAGAAGCACGAACCAAGTCTTCTTCTCAGAAACTTCCCGAACAGCGGCTGGTAGTAGCAACCTTCAAGTTCTACCTGAAACTGTGAGGTGGCCTCCCCCGTGAAGGGGAGGTCAGTACTTGGAAGCATTTGACAAGTACAATGACAACTATACTAAGTATAATCGAAGTTTAAATCTCTCAGGCCCTCAATCTAGAGCATCATTACATTATAGTTAATCCGTTCATTTAGTATCAATTCATCATTATCTACTACGGTCTAGAGCCCAGCTCATAATCACCGTTATCTACTACGGTCTAGAGCCCCGCTCATAATCACCGTCATCTACTACGGTCTAGAGCCCAGCTCATAATCACCGTCATCTACTACGGTCTAGAGCCCAGCTCATAATCACCGTCATCTACTACGGTCTAGAGCTCAGCTCATAATCACCGTTATCTACATCGGTCTTGAGCCCGGCTCATAATCACCGATTCTTTATAATTCAAATTCTTAGGATCTAATTCATCCATTTCTCAACTAACATTTCCAACTAATATTTCAATGCTAGTTATTTATTTATTTCAATATAATTCTTTCTTCATGCATGATTTGCCTTAATATCAAGTATCACTTTCATACCTTCATGGCTTCTCCTCATGGTATCAAGTATACTATCTCAAATGAAATTCATGGTTGGTACAACCATCATACACACATAATCATAACATCTAAACATACACAATTTATTCATAAATTTGTGTATCATGCATACTATACTTAAAATCAATAGTAGTTTTATTTAGGCATTAATAACCATTAACAACCCATGCACATCACATTTGTATTCACTTAGGAAATCCCATGAAATTAACCCAAAGATTATAAGTAACATAGTCGGTCATCCTCACCTTAATTAAGCTTAAGCGCGTTCTATGCTTCTCTATTGAACTTTGACTAATTCCGGCGAACTTTGACCAACTCCGGCGAACTTTGACCAACTCTGGCGAACTTTGACCAACTCCGACGAAACTCCGGTGAAGCTCAAAAATACTTTAAATCAAGTTCCTAACAAGGTTTTATCATCACAAAACCCATATCAACACAAATAACCTATAAAAGGTTATTTTCCGGCAAACCGGTCGATTTGGCTTCTAAGTCCGTTTTTGGACTTAGAATCACTTTCCAACCCATTATTCCACACTTAAATCATGTAGAACAATACTAAGGGTCTTTCATATGATATATATCTTATATGCTAGAAGAAAAACAAAGGAAAAGTTATGATAAGGTCATTACCTTAATTTTCACACTTTTTCCTAGCTTTTTCCTTCTTAAACTTTCTTCTTGGACTCCCTTGAGCTTGAGTTCGGATTTGGGGCTATGGAGATGAAGTTGTAGAGGTTCCTTCCTCCTTTCCCTTGCTGCTGGCCGAACTAGTGAGGAGGGGGATGGGTAGGAATGCCCCTTTGTCTCCTTTTGGACAATGAGTGAAAGGGAGGAGGGCCACCATGATTTGTTTTGATGCCAAACATCTCAAATCAATCCTCTCCCACCTCAACTCTCCTACCAGCCTGCTCAGGCCCTGAATAATGAAGCTAAAATCGTGGGTTGGCCCCCACCCATGTGGGAGGTCAACCCTTTTTGTCCAGAAGTGTACAATTGGTCCCGAAAGTTGTATTTTCCCGGACTGTTTTAAGTATATTTTATTTTATCGGGTCAAATAAAATATAACACTTGTTCCCAATTCCTAATGGGCCTTAGAATCAATATGCATCCCTCAACTTTAATTTAGAAGTCTCCGAAATCCCTTTTTGGGCTGTTATCTGATAGATTGCCGATACTGATAATTTGGCCCCGTTTGACCAACCGGTCAACCCTATGCCATTGTCATGGCTCAACTAGGATATCCACCACCATATACATATTATCTAGTCCAAGATCAATATAATATGTGGCCCCGATAATATCGGGCGGTCCCCACTCCCGATGTGGGCCCCACGTGCATTTTACTATTCACGCGAAAAAAAATTAATACAAATTCACAACTTCGTAAATTCACTAAAAATTTCATAGGGTTCAATAAATTATTAGCTTAAAGATAAATACATTTGGGGACGGTGTTACACAAGTATTCCCCATACATAAAAAATATCATTGACAAGAATAAGGACAAGGCGAAATACCATACTGTCACTACATTTGATATAGATCGAGGGCTATACTAGGTGGAAACAGGATGTGGCGGCCGAACACTGGGAAAGGGTGGGAAAAAGCAAAGTGTTAATTTGCAGAAGCGTACTTGTATTTGTAAGATGGTGGAAATATATAAGATTTCTTGCTCCCATGTATTAGTTGTGTGTAGACAACATAGTTTGTCTTACCATACTTTTGTGGATCTTTTTTTCTCATCTTCCCAATACGCCGCTTCATATCAAAGAGTTTTTAAATCCATTCCCGATTGTGCTTATTGGTCGACTTACAATGGATCACGAATTGTGCACGATCCGTCCATGTTTTGTGCAAAGGGACGACCAAAGTCCACAAGAATTAAGAATAAGATGGATGAAGGTGGCAGAGGAACCGTAAGATGCAGAATATGTAAACAAACCCGCCATAATAAGGCCACATGTGCGAAGAAATCTTCAGGAGATGGTGGGGGGTCCACTGGGTAAGAATTTAATTATTAAAATCTGTTAGTATCCAATTTTGATAGAT